GCATAAGACCTTTCTTGTAGAGGACGACGAGATCTATAATTTCTGTATAAAAGTACTTCGCTAGCATTAATAGTTTACGAGTTATTGACGAAAAACGAAAAAACGGTTTTTTGCAAATTACTCGTAAACTATTAATGCTAGCGAAGAACTTTTATACAGAAATTGTAGATCTCGTCGTCCTCTACAAGAAAGATCTGATGCAATTTTTCCGTATGTCCAACGGTTTGGGAGTTATTGGCCAAAAACAAAAATTTGGAAGAAATTGAAGGGGTACCCCTTGGAAAAATCTTGGAAAAATCGAAAATTTTTTGTTGTTGTTTATTATTAGCAGTGTTCTTCCGACGTCTGATTTCTTTTTAAAAAATGCGTTTCTAAAGTGCATAAACTTTTGGGATTGACTGTATAGCCAATACATCCTTAAGTATCGATACCTCTTGAGACACTCAATTCCGAGGCTGCACGACTTATGTAAAGTCGTACAACGATTGTACACGTTTTGGAGAGGCTTAAGATTAGAAAGTGAAAAATGACACCGTTTGAAAACGGAGCTAGTTTCTAGTTTTACTTCGGAGGAAATTTCTCTAACTTCGAGAATTTCCAACGAGGAGCAGACAATTTAATACTTCGTTACAACTTGGCGCGGCAATTTCTATTGTAATGCTATCCCGATGGAAAACGGAGTCGGTTTTAATTACCGTAGGCGGAACTTCTCCATCTTTGGAATTTCGAACACGTGTGACGGGAGGGTAATTTCGTTTCTCTATTACGACTCCATACGCACCCCCTCTGTTGTTAAATACGGTTACGTCTGCTGCGCGATTCGTCGTCGGACGTGCGGATGATCCAAAGGTGCAATCGAATTCTTGGCTGGGCTCTGGGGTCGGGCTATCAGCCACTGTCACGAGCACGTCGCTACAGCCAAACGATCGTCGGGGGAATGTGGAAAATGTAACGCTAGCTAAATTAGTTAACGGCTCCAATTGCGATGGTCGCTTGGGGAACAGAGGAACAGGGTAGAAGTTCGGCCAATTATGAGGAACAACCGTGTTATTAGAGTTATGGAAAAATTCAATTTACTTCGTGACCCATGGTGCATACCATCAATTTATATCGTCATTCCTTCGATGTGAATTATTTCAATTTTGATATCGGACTGATATAACAGATATTGATTTAAATTATTCAAGAGATTATGAAGATTTGTCACGATGCCCAAAATAATAAGCACCGTTAACATTCTCGTACGTACACAGGATTGAGTAAATACGTCACACTGCATAACTAAGTTTTCAAAGGTCCGTAAACCTTTGGGCCTGACCCTAATTATCGAGATGCGTTTGTCCAACATCGACATTAACTCTATTGCGTGTACCTCGTTTCTGTTTCCGTTTCGAAGACGTTTGTGTACATTGGCGTGGCGGTAAAGACACAGGCGTGGCGAGAATGCACCCGGCAAAATGCCCGTCTGTATACAATGCGTCGAATGTCTGGCCAGCGTCTGGCCGGGATCCTTGAATGAACGCCTATTTTTAAAAGGGCGCGCAAACGGATAAACAAGCCGGCAGCGGCGGTGATCACAATGCCATAAAATGAAATTCAAATGGTCGCGAGTGCGCGTCTTTCGTTGTCAGGTCGTCGCGATGCTCCCTTTCGATCGATATTAATTAGATACCTGTGACCTAGTTCATTAATTGATAACGAGAAGAGAATCTAAACAATTTCATAATAATTCGTAAATCTTGAGCGTCGACTACTTAAATTTTAAAATAAAAATTATTATGCATCATTTTCATTCCAAAGGTCTTATTTAGATTTTTCTATTTGAGACTAATTTTTACTTGAACGTGTATCGCGCGATTTATACAACGCAGTATTCCCGTTTGAATTCATTTTATCAGCCGACGTTTTCACATGGTGAAAACGGAAGAGAGAAATCGCAACGTTAGAAAATCCATTTCAGACATGATATAACGCCGCGTCTCGGGCGTGGGAATAAAAACGTCGCAGACGATGACGAATGAATAAAATATACGACCGCGTGTGTGCCGTAACGATGCGGCGTAGATAGCACCAGCCGACACTAATAGCGTGTCTCTTTATCGATAAGTGCCACGAAGCCACTAGCAGACAGCGACTAGACAAAAAAATACTCGACGTTACGTCGGTAACAGCCGATAGCGACGTCAAGGTGTTGTTCACGTACTCTTTTTTCATTTCGATCTTCCTCTTTTCCTTTCATTTTTCCATCTTGTGTATCTCGAGGCCAGACTATTATCATTTTTATTTTTTTATCAAAGTTGTATTCAGGAGTTTGATTTTGCTTTTTATAAAATTTAACGACAGACCTATGAGAGCTTATTACGTATGCGCAATTCAGAGTGTTTCAAGAAAATAGATGTGTAGTTTTAACGACTATTGCAAAGACCGTATGTGGTAACGTCAACGTCAGGATGCACGCGATCTCAACACAGACTCCTAAGTTCTGAACGGGTTGCGTCAGAAGGTCGTCTGCGAGCCGTGGAAATCGCGCACGCAAGGTCCGCGCCGAATGAAAATCGTGCATTATTCGCACGATCGGGATCAACGACCGATATACGACCGCGACGCGGTGTCACTTCGTTATTTTGATACCACGCGTAAGCGTTACAATCGAGGCCACCCGAAATTTCGATCTAAATGCACTGCCAGACTATTATCAACGTCGGTGAACTGCGATTTCTCTAATTACGAGGTAAGATCCACTTTTAATTGGTGCAGGAGCAATAACTAATGGTATAAAGTAATGAAAAAAATGTAAAAAAATTGTATGCATTTTGTGTTCCATAAATCAGATAGAAAAAGTGCATAATTCTCGCACAAAGTTATATAAGATATCGCGTTTGATAATTTACTTACATTATCTTGCATTGGACAGGAACGGGATTGAAATATAAACAAGAGCGTTTAAAAATTGGCAAAAAAGGGCAGCAGTCCGTGTGTCGTAAATCGCGGCTTCGACCGTGTGCCAATTATCCTTTTCTGCAATTCTGTATTACGTGCTTCAATGGCAAGTACGGGACTGACTGGTTGCCGAGCAACATCTGCCGCTGCTTTTAATTGCCCGGTTTTACCAGGAAGCGTGATTTAACGTGTGCGTGTACGGCTCGGGAGATCGGAGCACCTTCTCCTTCATCTTTTTTTTTTTTTCGTTTCGTTTTCATGGAGGCCGTAAAGATTTTATGAGATTGCATAATGAGGGTCGCTCGTAAAATGACGCTGCTCGTTGCATCGCGTTCCTTTTCAGTTTGCAATTTAACTTCGTACTGGAAGGTTCACTTCTATCGATATCACGCGAGTTTTCTATACCATTCGACGGAACATTTTGATCACTGCCTATCGCGACACATTCATCTTAACTTTGTTGTGCAAAACGAAAACGCAGCATAGCAATATAAATCAAACATTTCACGGTTATTGAAACGTATAAGTGGTCGACAATATTTCTCGTATCGAGCTCCACGGTAGCATTCACGCGTGACTATCGCACGCGAGTAAATACGCACGTGCGATATCTCGATGCGTCCGCGATGCGGCCAGTCGCGAATATAATTTATAATCGGCGTGCGGTGCACGAAGCGTGCAGGTGCGGCTCCGCTTCACGATACTCGCAGCGGGTCGTCCACGAGCGCAATCTTCGTCCCGCCTTGGCCGTCATTGGCTTGATCCCTCGAAAAGACCGACTCGAAAATCAAGACGGCTGACGATTTTACGAGTCGACGCGATTTCACGGAGCCGCGCGGTTTATGCACGTAAATGGGTATCGATCGTCTGCCGCATCCCGGTCTTAATGGCCGATTTGCAAATAAGAAGCTGGTTGCGGTTTTCAGGCTCAAGATCGTTCCTCCTCGAAAGCTTCCGTCGATCGATTCCGAGGTTACATAAAATTCTTCGGGGATTCGAAGATTTTACTCCGTCAATCGAAGCGATGCTGTTTTATGGTTCGTCGTTTCAGAGCTGTACCTTGTTATCTCTGCTGCAGTGGTTTTCAGAGAATCGCGAATGTATGTACGCACGTACTTTCGATTCGCTCGACGATATTTCTTAGCAGGAAAAAATCTCGCTTTGTAATTGGCGAACAAGCTTATTTACAATTTGAATTGGTAATCTAGTCATCGAAGCACCAAGAATTCTTTCAGCTCCTGCGAAAACGCTTTCGACCTGTTCAATATTCCACGTCATGTCCTGCCTCCATCGAACTCTTTTCACGAAGGGAAAATTGAGTAAAAAGCAAAGCAGAGATAAAGAGAGCTTACGAAGCGTGGGGAATACACGTCGCCGTGCGGTCGGGGACGAATGCGTCCTGATTATGCAGGAATGGAGCGACGAGAAGAGAGAGAGGTTTCGAACGTCTAGGACGGTAGACGGGCGGCTAGTCTCGAGCGGCCGAGAAAACTCGTTCCACGGATTTTTCTAGGATTCTAGGCGAGGCCGGTTGAATATCCAGCCTCGGCCATTAGTTGTGATTCTCGTAGTTGCGTATAGCTATTAATAAATGCGCATTGCCGCAAAGAGGACGTCGCACTCGCCCGCGTTTGGCTCGATTACACTCGCGCGATATATTCTCGAACACCTTGCCGAGTGGATAAACGAATATGTATGTTCATTCGAGTTATGAATCGCGCTCATTTTCTCTGAAGATTGACATCATCGTATCCTCCGTAAGAACTTTTTTCAACGACATCGTTGAATTCGACGAGATGAGCGAGGGAAGCGGCTCGTTCTCGTTCTCGTCGCTCCTATTTAGACCGAATCATCTATGACCTCGTTACGTCGACGATCCGGGAACGACGTCAATGACGTATTAATCAGCGTTAGGTGGCGATATCGCTATTCTATGGACGTGGAATGACTGCCGGTCGCAACATGCATTCGAATGAACGCCGGCTTTGAAGATAAGGACTATCGCGAATCATGGGGATCGTAAAAGGTGCTCGAACGTTCTCTCGATAGCGTCGTTGAATTTTGCGCAAGTTTCCCGTCGGTGGTTTTCAATTTCCTTCGCTTCGATGATGGTCTCCTCCGCTGGAGAAATTCCGTATTGAATATTTAATAGGTATCTCGAAGATTGGAATCTCTAATATTATATAGAATAACCAATATCTATAACGGAGTATTATACCTAAAAATCTTGTAGTTAGAAAAATTATTGTTCTGTTTCTTCTTGCTTGGAACAATTCATATTTTACCACAAATTGTACGTTTCAAAAATTAAAAAACATTGTGTGAGAGAGATTGTAATTCGTTGAGGTTCGCCTTACACTCACAGTATCAAAGAAACGCATTTTCCACGAGCACGAGTTTCACCGGTTACCCAACGCTGTTGTAGAAGAAACAGGGAATCGTTTTCCAAACAATCCCCGGGCGCGGTGGTTTCGCAAACCTGCAGTCGCGGCCGTGCGGTCATCGAGTGCACGCGTGCACACGCGCGCGGAGAGAGGAAATTCGCGGGCTCATGCATTGTAGAACGGGAGAGCGAGTAGTGCGGTGGCGGCGGCGTACACGCGCGTAGCAGACCTTGAGCCACTATTACCGACTGTTTATGCCGTGATGTAATCGTATCCTGGCCTATCCGAGGCTTGGCCTAGGCTGCACCTAGGGAACCAAGCGTAGTCGTAAATAATACTCTCGGTACATTCGACGCTTTAGGTGCATTGAAATAATTTACAGCTAACCACGTTCCTGCCGCGCGGACGCCTCGCGTCCCTTTGCACTCTCTGCATGCGCGGCATACCCGTCCCTATTGCACACGGATGTACTTCGAGAATGCGGTAGAAAACTAACAGAGAAACGTGTCATATTCCTTTGAGAAGTGTTTCTTCGAAGGTTCTATTCCCTAGATCTCCGAGAAGGTTACGAGCTCTGATGCACATTTGTCGTACGAATTAATATCTCTGCGTTGGTACTGAACATGCTTATGAATGGATCTATGCAGCTAAATTCTTAAATGCTAGCTGCTTACCTTTTATAATGGAGACGCGTAGGAGAGGATTGCACGTTGAGAATGATTCCACCCTTCGTACGTGGTTACTTGGAATAAGATCTATTCTTTTATAATAATTATACTACAATCTTTCATAGCTGATTACGTATTAAATTCTGTAACGTGGATCGCGACTGGTTGATTATTCCCAGTTCGAAGCCGGATGTATCGCTCGGTGTTGCAACACAATAGAGAATCATAAGCGTTACAGACAGCCCCTACAGTAACCTTTCAGAATGTTCTACGGACCTTTTAATTTCTCATCTTCCTCCCATTAAGGAAACGCGCATTGTTACGTGCTACAATATCCTTGTTCCTTTTAAGGAGTAAATAGTTTTACGAGTCGATGTCGAATTTAGACGATCCGTTTCGCAATTCTTCCGTTGGGAAACTAGTCGACTACTTTTCAACTCTTCGACGTTATACTTTGTTGAGTACCACACGTTTTTAATTAAAATTCATTTGTACTGCGAGTAATTACTCGGGAATGATTTTCTCGCTTTGCGAGTCGGTAGGATACGCGGGAATCGAACGCCTTTGATCTCACGGAAGCGTTGCGGTTTCTTTTGTACGAATACTCACTGGGCATTTATAAAATGTGCATACATTGCGAAAATTGGTGATTCAGTACATCGCGTAGATTCCACCGTCTAATTGTTGCCATTTTTTCATTCCTGTTTTCCGGCGTGGAACGTTACTCACGGCTTGGAGCTCTCGCGATGATGAAATTCCGCGACGCGTCGCGCTGCCTGAGATGTGGCCTTAGGAAGCGTTGCACAAGTTCTGTCTAGACTTATGTAAATATACTTATGCTAGTGCTCGTGATGAGTAATAGCGTTGAGAAACGATGGAGGACAGTTTGTTGATATTCGCACCGCGCGATTATGCCTCGCGATATCATTTTGTCAATAATTAGTTGAGTCGGTTCATCAGTATCTTTTTCCTAGGTAGTTTTCCTTTATTGCTATATAAAGGAATACAAACGTGATTGGCAAGGAACACGTGCAGGAACGTGAGCGACCGAAATCGTTCTGGCATTTTCACATTGTTTGGTCCACCACGTGGCCGTTTCGTGACGACCATTCACGAGTAGCTACACGAGAGATATTATTCGCGAGGCGTTTAGAATTGAATGCCTGCGAAGAAGTTGAAAGGGGGGCGCGGTGGCGAGAGGGACGTGAACGTCGATGTAATGCAGTGCAATTGGCCTTGTGAGGTGAACGTACTCGCGAACGGTTTCGATGCATATTGCACAGGCATCTGCCACCGGTGCAGCAACGAAATTGTACCCGAGGACCACTCGTAATTTCATGTACACGAGCTTCGTTATGTTAAAACCTGTCTACATTCTCACTGCAGAAAAATATCAGCTTATGTAACGTACTGCAAATGTGCAGATTAGTTGGCACTTCATCGCGTTTTAGCAAACAGTAGTGTCATTGCACAAACACTTCAACTTTGCCGAAGCTTAATCTCTGAACTGTTACATCACGCTCGCTCGTCAAGGAGGCATGGACTCCAAAAACCTCGCTCGACCCGTTACAAAATAATTGCCTTCGACTTGGTTGCATTTCTGAACTCCGTCGACACGGAGGAAAGTAGTTTGCCCTTGTATGCCTTACGTAAAACTGTTCTAGTATGACAATACCCAGGCTCGCGACCAAGGACGCGCTCCTTAACAACGGGTTGACACGTAACACTTAATATGATAACGTTGCATGCGTGGGCCTCGGCGTCATAGCGACGCGACATGTCACGGTGCCGCTCATTTCCCCACGGTGACTCGAGATGTTCCCGGAAATTGCGATTAATTTCGCGGTACCTGACCATTCGCGAATTTTACGTAACGCATTTTATGAATGGTACCGTTTGCTCGAAGCGGCCCGTCCATTTCTAGAAGAAGGAATTCTCGACGCGTAGGCATTGGGTCGGAGGCAGGATTTTAAGTTGGCTCAATTGGCCAAATCGCGTGGGAGTAATACTTCGAAAGTTTACTGATATTTATCTTAAACGGAGTATTTTTATTCTTCTTGTATTCACCATGTACATTGAATATCGCGACAATAGGATTAAATTCCAACAATACCGTCGAACAACAAGAATACTCGGATAC